AAATTATATGAACGTAAAAATTTAAAATTATATTTATTTAAAATATAAGTTGTATATAGCATTTTGAAAAAAAAAAAATTTTCAAAATATAATCTAATTCATAAACTAGAATATAGGAGAAATTTTTCATTAAAAACATGAAAAAATTTATAAAAAAATTTAAAAAATATTTAATTTTTTTTAAGTTTACCTATATAAAATTTTATTTAAACTATTCTTTAATATTTGGTTGAAAAGCTACGTGATTTTAGAACAGCTCTTACCCAATTTTCTATATTATTAATCAGTTTTTGATAAATATTACTAGAGATTTGTGACCATGATTCCTATAAAAATGCTTCTAATTCAACCATGTTTTGAGGATTTTTTTTTCTTGATTAAACATTACATTCAAGTTCATCCCAAATGTGTTCAATAGAATTAAGGTTAAGGCTTTGTTCTGACCATAATAAAAGAGTTATAGCATTGTCTTTGATAAAAGTTTGTATTTGCCTACTTGTGTGGATCAGTGTATTATCTTGTTGAAAAAAATACTTCCCATATTCCTTCTCAAATTCCTTTAAAAATGGTATCAAATGATAACCAAGTATTTCTTATATGTATCTTTCACTGTTAACTCGACCATTGATTCTTATTAAGGGACCCATTTTATACCATGAGAAACAACCTCACATCATAATACCTCCTATACCATGCTTTACAGTTAGAACTAAGCAATTAACATTATATTTTTCCTTTAGAAGACACCAAACATGGATCTTTTCATTATTTCTAAACAGTATAAATCTAGATTCATCGCTTCAGATAACTTTTTTCTAGTTATTGATTGTCCACGAATGTCTTTTTCAAGACCATTTTAATCAAAATGTCTGTTTGACTCACTGATATAAGGCTTTAGAAGAGCAATCCAGCTATAGTACCCTTTTCATAAAGTGCACGTCATATAGTATAGTATTCTTACTCACTACATTTCCAATTGAATTTACAAAAATTTCTTGTAGTTTTTGTGCTAATTCACGCCTTTCTTTAATAACAATAACCTTTAAATGCCGTTTATCACGTTCTGTCAATTTTCTAGGTTGTCTACTTCTTGGAATATTAGTAAGAAGACCTGTTTTATTGTATTTTTTAATAATATAATGGATAGCTGACTTTAAATGGCTCGTTTTTTTAACTATAACTCTCTCAGATTTACCAGCTTTATGAAGACCGATAATTATTTCACGTTCATAATTGTAAGCTCTTTCTTTTTGATCATATTAAAGAATGTGAAAAGAAAAAAAACGCAGAAATAAAGAAAAAAAAGATTGCAATAATCATTTTCGATAAAAAAACTAATATAAATATTTTTTTGTTACAATAAATCACATGTAATCACAATAAATTTGCAGATTACAGGGGTGGTTTAATACTTTTGGGTAGGGAGTGTATCAGCAGAAAAAGGAGATGCAATAATACGTTTCAATAAAATAGCAGCTGCAGATTCTTTTCATATTCCTTGTGGATTACATGTTACTTAAATCATATTAATAAACTTTGAAAATATTGCATTTGGAAAACTTAACTCACTATCAGGATTATTATTAAAAATATTCATATAATTTAATAAATCTAGCTTTCTATCTTCATGATGGATAAAATGAAAATAATAAAGATAATTCTTTAAATATGAAAGCAGATATAAACTGTCAACTTTACAAAGAACTTTTAAATCATGATCTAACAAAATATCAAAAACCAATTAAAATAAAATGATTATATAAATTAAAAACAGCAAAATAGTAATGACATGTAGCTCACCTTTTATTTACTCAATGGTTATCAAAATATTAAGCATTATTAAAAAAAGTATCACAAAGATATATTGAAAAATAGAAAATATTCTATTTATGATTAAATAATACAAAACTTAATCTTCAATTGCATTGTCTTATTAAAAGTTTTTTTGAACTTATTTATGAATTTCTTATCAGTTATGATTTAGTATCACAAGTTTATAATTTAGATGATAAAATAGTAACTTTTCCACCTGGTAATCGCACCCATGAGATGCCTGATAAAGTAATAGTATAGATGGCTAAACTCCAAAATGCTGCAGAAATCACATCTGAAATATTTCAAGAATTAGTTAAAGATAGTGCATTTTTGAATTCAGAAGATATAATTGAACTTTATGAAGCTCTTCAAACAGGGATTAATCAAGCTTTAAATGGATTTCTCAAATGGATGTTAACTATGGATTCATTTACCTTTAAGTATTTGTCAATTAGGAGGCAATTATGGTCAAGAATTTGCTCGTACCTTTTATGTTTTTTTCTCAAAATGATATTTTAATATTACACCATGTGAAAGTTCTTATATAGAATTTTGAAAAAAGATTTACAAAATAAAATTATAATACTTTTGGGTTAATGAAAGCACTTCAAGAACCAAACTTTTTGCAAGAATTTGAGGAATTTTCCAACTCAGACTCCAATGAATATTGGAAATTTCCCATAGTACCGGGGGGAGGGGGGACAAAAGTATTGCACGCTTTTATTTTTTCAATAATTTTTTATTTTTTACAGAAACATACA